ACCAATGCTGAAAACAGTTGTGCTGCCTCATATTTTTGTGGAAATGTCGTCGTCATTTTCGGCCCAAACATTCACTACAACCGGAGAAACCCTCTCTTCTACCTCTAAATCCTTGCGAGACAGCAATATTTGCTTTTTATCTGGTCCCTCTCTCAGGAATAGAAAGATTAGGCAACTTTTTCAGAACGATATTATCACTGTCCCTTCGGTAATATCTTATTGGAGTAATTGTTTTATTCCTTGGAAGAAGGTCTGGTCTCCAACCAACAAATATGTAATCACTAATAAGGTTAAAGAGGTATCATTCAAGTTACATCGATTTTACCCAGTCAATCTTTATATATTTTTTTTTTTCCTGCATGAGTGAATCCCCTGCTCCTTCTGTGGAGTGGAAGACCAGTCTGTACCGCACCGTTTTTGGGATTGTGTTCATGTTGCTACTTTTAGAAGAAATGTTGTCTGCTTGTACGTGCTTCTTTCTTGGACAATTTTTCTTTGGTGTTTAAGGACGTACGACTTATTTGGATTTTATAACTCTGACAAGAATTTTCTTATTAATCTTTTTATTTGTCTAGCCAAGTTTTTTATACACAAGTGCAAATTTTTTGCGCGTTAAACTTCTTTTTATTCTTTTTTTATTTCGCAAAGACCTGAAATGTTATTTGGGTACTTTCTCTTCTGTCAAAGCTTTAAAGTCCTTGTGCACAATGTATAATATACAGGTGAAACTCTAAAAATTCGAATATCGTGCAAAAGTTCATTTATTTCAGTAATTCAACTTAAAATGTTAAACTAATATATTATATAGACTCATTACATGCAAAGTGGGATATTTCAAGCCTTTATGTGTTATAATTTTAATGATTATGGCTTACAGTTATGAAACCTTTTCACAATATTCTAATTTTGAATATGGGTTTTTCATAAGCTGTAGGCCTACGCCATAAATAATCATCAAAATTATAACAAATAAAGGCTTGAAATATCTCACTTTGCATGTAGTGAGTCTATATAATATATTAGTTTCACCTTTTAAGTTGAATTACTGAAATAAATGAACTTTTGCATGATATTCTATTTTTTCGAGTTTCACCTGTAGGCCTATTATGCTTTTTTATAAATAAATAAAAAGGGATTCAAGCCATTCCTCTCTCTCTCTCTCTCTCTCTCTCTCTCTCTCTCTCTCTCTCTCTCTCTCTCTCTCTCTCTCTCTCTCTCTCTCTCTCTCTCTCTCTCTCTCTCGTTACCCCTGGCTCAATGTTTTACTGGCTTTTTGTCAAATGTTTATGATTATATTATTGTTGTCTAATTCTGTTTTGAGTTGTATGTATTTGCTTTTATATTTGTTCAATAAAATAAAAACAACGGAGATATCATTATAATATGCTAATTTGAAGCTCAATAAACTTTATGTATTGACTGCCTTCACGTGCTATTAGCTCATCGCATTCAAGTGCTTTTGTTGTCGGAAATAACTGTCACATAATCCTTCAGATAGGCTATCATTATGATATGCTGATTTGCTACTCAAGAAATGTTACTATAATTATTACCAATGCTGAAAACAGTTGTTCTGCTGCTGCCTCATATTTTTGTGGAAATCACGTCGTCATTTTTGGCATGATACATTCACTACAACCTGAGAAACCCACCCTGCATTAGGGACTCCTCCTCCCCGATCCCATAAGCGGGTCCCCCCCCGGCTGCAGTGTCGGGACGGCCCGGTGCAGCAGAGGGGTCTCCCCCCGGGGGCTCGCGGGCTCTGGTGCTGTTGTCTGCCCGGCTGTAGGTGCTGAAGCCCGGCTGGAAGGAGAACGAGCACACACTCCTGCCCCCGGAGGTGCAGTTGAACAGGTAACAGCGCAGACTGCCGTCCGGCTGCGTGAGCTCCTCCTGGATGATGGCGTCAGTGCAATGCGGGAGCGCGCAGCAGGCGTGCACGCAGTCCCTCCAGCTGAACACGCGCTGCGGCGCGGACAGGAACGCGCCGCCCTGCTCGATGGACGCGCTGGCGCGGATGATGCGCTCCTCCTGCGCCTGAAAGCCCCTGACACAGCGGTCCCCGTCCCCCGCGTCCCCCCTCGGGCCCGGCTCCTGCTGGAGCTGCTTGAGGAACTCCTCCATCAGTTCCTCCACGCCGGATATTTGGGATTTGAGATCCGATGTTGGAGAGGAGGAGCGCGTCATCAGGACCGTCCTCGTCACGCAGAGAAGAAGAGAACAGATGAGTGCTCGCTGGACATGATGATGAAGCGCACAATGAAGCATCGTTGCGCTGTAAACGCTCTTTTCCCACGGTGGAAACGATCGCACGCTTTCTCTCACATCCTATTCGAGATTCAAAGTGTCAGTTTACGACGTAAGAATCGCCGTTTTGCGCATTTTAGAAGAGCAGAACGAAGCACCTGTCGTCTCCTCTGGCACTGAGCTGGAATCAGCATCAGTGAATGCAGTGTTGTGATGCCTGAGTGAATGCAGTGTTGTGATGGGAGGCCCTGCAGGGGGCGCTCTGTGGCTCACACTGATGCTGCCTTCACGTGCTATCGGAGATTTCCTATTTCCCACTTCTGAAGTCGTGATTACGAGCTCGTCGCAAGTTCTCAAGTCAAGTCACCTGTATTTATATAGCGCTTTTAACAACACAGATTGTTTCAAAGCAGCTTTACAGTGATATAGGAAAATAATGCAACAGTGTTTGTTTCTACTGTGCAGCAGATCTAGAAGAAAATAGCGTCACAGTCCAGTTTAAGTAAGTTCAGTGAAGGTTCATTTTTGTTGTATAAAAGTTATTACAGTTTTTCTCAATTGCTAAAACACTAAAACCCATTGGCTGAACAAAGTTCTCAGTTGCCTGAACTCATTTAGCTAATTGTGCAGTCTGTTGTCAATACCTTAAACTATTTCACATGGCAAAACACAATTTGCAGATCTTACTTAGACTTTTCAGCAAAACGCTAAACACATTCTCATTCTCAAAACATATTCTGCACTGTAATGCACACATCATCCATACTGGTAAACACAAGTGGCAATGATCAAATACAAATAGAGAACAAATGTCATTGATTGAACACAACCACTCAAAATTGATTTAACCTGTTTCAAATGATGCCCAAAGACAAGAAGAAGCACACTGATCACGTTTACTCCTTTGATTTTTGTCCCTTTTAGTATTGTATACTGTAGTACAGTGCATTGTAGGCTGTATACTGTACAATGAACAAATTATATGGCCCCGAACATCGTTACTGTAACAGTACCATTTGTTACAGTACTGAATGCTCAATAGATTTTACTGGTTGCACTTGCAGGTTCATATCAACAAAGAACAAGCATTACAGTATCAAACAATAGAACTGACAAAGGAGAAGTTTGTGAGATGCAGGGCACTGTACTGTAAAAATAGGGGTACAAGGAGGAAGAACAAATATAATTGCAAAGAGCAAAGCAGAGTAGTAATTTCTGATCAATTTTGCGCTACTATGATGTTTTCATTCATCAAAAGACAATGACGGACAAATATGAAATTTGTTTTAAGATTAAAAATGTACTTCTCCCTGAAATTTTGATGGTACAGTAATGTGTCACGGGTAAGTCTACAAACAGAATAGCCGTCAGTAGATATCTTTCGAGAACTGTATGTTTTGAACAATGTGTTTTCTATTTTTTGGTGTATTGTTTACTGACTGCTTGATAGTGTATATCATTTTGATCACTTTGTCTATGATTTTAAAGAGTGATTGATTTTGAACACAAGTAAAACTGTTTTGAGGCGAAAGTTTCATTTTGCAAGAAGAGTCAGAGGTTTTGTAAATAGTGCTTGAAGATGAGGTTTTGTGTTTAATGTTTTCAGAAAAAGGAGCAAGGATTCAGAAATTGTGTTTTAGCAATTGAGAAAAACTGTAATTTAGTTCATTTATATGTATAGCCATTTTGGAGAGCCGTGATGTCATCGTCCAGCTCAGTTCAGTTCTCATATAAAGTCAATGCAGACAGATCAATAATATTGTTGAATAGGCTTAAGTGTCCCCAAGCGAGTCAAAAGCCAAAGGCGACAAAGTCGTGCTTTGTTGTCAGAAAGAACAGGAATCATGGAGGACACAGGTTAATTATTGCCCATTTATTAGGAAAATCTAAAGCCAAAATGATATAAGAGTCTCATTCACTGAAAACCATAAAAATCACTATATCTATAGTTAGCTTGCTAACGATTCTGTAATTTCTGTCAAAGGTTATTTTTGCTGTGTGTAAAACATAAGCCTACACTTCAAATGATTATTCATAAATATAAATATTCATACTTTAACAACAAGACAAGGTGATGTAGCGGTTGTGGAAAAAACGAATGAAGAATACGATACAGTCACAGCAATCCTTCTCCCCTCCATTATCCCAGAGCTTCAGTTGCAAATACGACTTGAGAGGGTGTTCATGTCCAATTTTTATCGTATTTATGATTTTTCCGAGAGCATGTGAAGGCAGCATTACAACACTATTCAGAAATCAGGACGCTTTTTTCAAAGGATTGTTTTTGCATTAAATCTAATGCCCTTTTCAGATTTCCGGGTTTCTCAGAAGTGGAAGTCATCACTGTAACAAATTGCTGTAAAAATTACAGCAACTTACTGGCAATTTTGGTTGCCAGTAAGCCTGTACATTTTACAAGAGTACTGTAAATCATAAACTACAATTATACTGTAAAAAATACAGCACACCTGTAAAAACAGCAAAACAAGACCAGCTGTGAATTTACAGTTCTTTACTGTATTATTTACAGTATGTTACTGTTATTAATAATGCATTGAATTAAAACATGAGACAACTCATCTCATTTCAGGAAATTTGCCATTAAATAGTTATACCGTGAGCTAATTTCATTTGAGTCTACTAAGAAAAAGACTTTATGAGTTAGAAACATACATTTAACTAAATCCTACTAGATAACAACAGCACACATGAATGAGTTGAATAAATTTAATGCATCAGCAAATACACAGTCACTGCCTTTAAATAAAGCAACATTCAGCTTAACCTCAGTGTTTCTCTGCTCCTCCTGAACTGAAGCACAGGCTCTACTCTTCAACACAATGGTGACACACAAAACTCAACAGAAACACTTTAAATCCCAACAGATTAAACACTAACAGATCTCCATTATATCATTGTGTGCAAAAACACATAAAATCACATAAAGTAATTCACATAATTTTACTTTTTTGTTTAGTATATTTGACTGTGAGATTTTTTCAGGAAACAACTGACTTCAGCCACAGCCTTAGAGGAAATCCACTGAAGAGAAAAGAAGACATTAAATCTGTGAAGATCTCAGCAGAGGAGGATTAAACAACTCCACAAACAGCATTACCAGCTTCACTTATTACTAACCAGACTCACTTTATTTCTGTCATAATCAGACTTACTGAGAAATAGCTGAGGGTTAGATGTGGATGATTTATTGAAAATATTTCATTTGAAGTTACCATGATCGTGATTAGTGTTTACTTTAGTTGGGCTCTTGACTCTTAAAAAGTTGAACATTGAAGTTCTACTTTGGCTACTATAACCATGTCTTTATAAGACAAATATGTTATGGCAATAGAAGTCAAGTAAAATTATGTTCAGGTGTTGATGGATGTCTATTGATATCAGCCTTGACAACATCCAGTGGCTGATCTTGATCAGAATAATTTATTGATTATGAAATTGAGGTTATAATAGATTGCTCCTTACTGATTGGTGTAGTCGTGTGATTCTACAGCATGATGATGATGTTCAGTTGTGATTATATCATGTAATTTGTGTTTGACATATATAAGATTCACAAAACCTTTCAAGCAACTGGAACACACGTGTATCAAGAATCAGCATATGAACCTCAACTATGGTGACAAACATAATATAGATATATCAACTCTGAACATCACAAATCAAGCTACTAAAAAGTCACATCAAAAAACAACAACAAAAATAAAAGCACATGGTAAGAAGAAAAGAAAATAAGACAATTCAGCTGCATAATATATGCATGCTGCAATGCATGCTGGGAGTTCTGTATTAAGGTGATACCCAGCATGCATTGCAACATGAAGCGTTTCATTTGAGTGTCACCATTGTTGAGATTCATACGCTGATTGTTGATGTCTGTGTGTGACTTAATAACATGTTTTTTTAAACTATCTATGCCATATTGTTTTTAAAATCATTCAAATGATAATGCTGTTAAATTGTCTTATGGAAAATCGCTATATTAATCAATTATATGGAAAGAACCATATGACTGAGAAGACATTCAACTCTGGGTGAAATGAGGTGCTACTGATCTGTAAGCTCTTTTGAAGACATCATCAATACACAGCCAGAGTCGCCAGATTTTTCTTCTCTTGCTTTATTACTATAACTGTTGTGCCTTATAAACACACAGGTAAAGCAGCCAGAGAAAAACTAATGTTGCAATGTCAAGGGTAACAGCCCAACTAAAGCCAACACTTATCACCATCATGGTGACTACAAACTAAACCATAAATCATCAACATCTAAACCTCAGTTAATTCTCAAAAAGACCTTGACAAGTGATGCTGGTAATGAGTTATTTACTCCTCCTCTGCTGAGATCTTTAGATATGTACTGTCTTCTTTTCTTTTCAGTTGATTAAATATATGGCTGTGGCTGGAAGTCAGTAGTTTACTATACAATCTAAGTCAAATTTACTAAACAATATTTATGTGACAATAAATGTGAAATGTGAATATATATTTATATGAATGACTGCTCAGGAGAGTAAATGCTGAAATGAAGTGTGATTTTATGTGTTTTTGCACTGTTGTGGCAAAAACTCATCTCAAACATACATCACTGCGTAAGAGACACTCAGAGTCAAATTATATAAAATAGAAGTATTTATTCTTGCAAGAATAGGAGCAGTCTAATACACAGTTGTTACCCTGTGCAGAAGAGTGACACACCCCCAGACAGACTGAACCAGCTTTTATCTAAGTTTCAAGGCCTTCTTTTCCCCCAGAGCCTTCCTCCTAGTAGTTTTCCATAGACTAAGCCCCCCTGCACCAAATGGCCTTCCGACATCTAGGTCAGAGGTCCCTGTTCGTCTGCTCTCTGGAGTGTCTCCCCCTTCTGCTTCCCCAGGTACATAAACAGAATCTTCTCTCACTACAAGTGAGAGACACACATGTGACATTCTTTGAATCATCTATATTTTACACATTGAATAGGTTCTCTCTCTTATGATATCTGTTAGGGATCAATGACTATTAAAATTTCCACAACAAATTCCCGCTTTTTATCATTCTGATTACCCATAATCATAACAATAAACAATAAGACAAATTTTAAGTCATATCCTCACACTTATACTCTTCATCTCTGATTTTTGCATAAATGATCACTCTCCTTGAACCTGTGAAGAAAAGTTTAGAATGAAGAAGCATAAGGCTGTTTTTGT